AGGATGGGGGGTGGATGGAACTGGCTCAGTATGGTGTCCAGTGGCGGGCTTTGGTATTAGCGGTGTTGAACCTTCGCGTTCTGCTACCAGAGAGTCAGTTAATTAGTAAGATGGATCTTAGGGAAATTGGCTGTGAGGATGGGGGGTGGATGGAACTGGCTCAGGATCGTGTCCAGTGGCGGGCTTTGGTATTAGCGGTGTTGATCCTTCGGGTTCTGCTACCAGAGGGTTAGTTAATTAGTAAGATGGATCTTAGGGAAATGGCTGTGAGGATGGGAGGTGGATGGAACTGGCTCAGGATCGTGTCCAGTGGCGGGCTTTGGTATTAGAGGTGTTGAACCTTCGGGTCCTGCTACCAGAGTTAGTTAATTAATTAATGTGAAAATGTATTAATAGAATGTTAATGAAACAGTTAGGCAGTACATATGTTTCTAGAAAAACGTCCATATAAAATTAATTTACAACGGCGAAAGAAAATACAATTATGCGGCAATTAAAAACAAACAATAAAACTGCCGTGGTCAGTAGGGAAATGGAAGCATGATGTGTGGAGTCTGGTGTTTCGACACGCGCACCGCCCAACATGCAACTGGTCAGTGATCGATGCCCCGTAGGTCTATGACGCCGCATTCCAGTGGCTAGCGTCGGACTAGCGCCGCAACAATCACTAATGACGGGTACAAGAACAAAAGATCGTGTTGTGCTGTGACGAAAGAAAAGCGAGTGACTTAATATGGTTGAATTGTTTGTACAACTTTGGTTAACAACTGAAGAGTTGAGTGCCTAGCAACGATTGTTTTCACTTTGTCCACAACAAAGAACCAGCGGTAAGTATGAAACTGTGACAGATAAAAATCACAGATTTTAGAATATTTCCTGGCCTTTTTTTTTAAGATTGTCTTAGCAAAGAGTGCATAGCACAGACGAACTGTGTCTGTCTCTCCTTCCGTTCACATATTTCATCTGTGAAACAACTGAATGGATTTAGATTAAACTTGGTAATGGATGAAAGCAATAAAAGTTATGAGATGAATTAAATTTTGATCCCGAGGTGTGTCGTGTTCTCTCTTTGCAAATATGTCTGGATAACATGGAAAGTAAAGCTCCTACATACTCGTAATGGCAACTACATGTACTTCTCGTGCTGACATTAATAAACTCTGCATTCTGCCCACACAGTGTATCTGTGTGTTCCGTATGGTTCTCACAGTAAACAGTGACTGTTTACCTAAACAGCATTAACCGGTTGGGCTTTGTAGCGGAGACGTAATGTGTCTCCTGTGAGGTACGAATTGAATTCATATTAGATGAATTTCAGGTTTCAAGGGAGCGGCAGACAGAGTTCTGAAGGCTCCCATAGCCTCCAGGCAGTAAAATATGGTCATGAGTCCCGTGGGACTCGAAACCAAGAATCGCTGTGTTGTCGAGAACCAGCAACGATTTAGCAGTCAGTGAGTCAGACTTCAAAATTTTAAGAAATATGATCTTTTCGGCAGATGGGGTGCGCCAGCAGTGCCCCTTCTCTGTCCCATAACGGAGAACTGAAATCCGCGGCTGACAATCTTATTCAAGAGGGTACAGACCTCGCATCGAAAGCAAAGAAGTCGGCCAACGATCTTCTAGACGCTGCAGGAGACGCCAAAGATGACGCCCTGGCAAAACTTCAAGGTAAGCTCGACATATGATAGGCGAACGAAATATTTTTCTCGTGGAAACTGGGTTTCTGTAACACTGCAGATATTTGCCTAAAAGGGGTTCAGTCTCACAAGTGGCTACGTGTTTCGAGGGTTGCATGGCTCTAAGTACTGTCTTTAGGATGCCACACCGTGTAGTCTAGTAATGACCGCCTAAAACATCTCTGAGGGTATGTCACATCTCGAGTAGGCAACCTTACTTACTTACTTACTTGCTTATGGAGCTGAGCCCTTCTTGAGGAGAAGCCAAATCTGCTGCTACTCAAGAACTTCCCAGCATTTCATGGAACCCGAAGGTTCATTACCGTGTTCACAACAGCCCTCCACTGGTCCATATCCTGAGCCAGATCAATCAAATCCATACCATCCCATCCTATCTCTCTAAGATCCATTTTAATATTGTCCACCCACCTACGTCTTGGTCTTCCTAGCGGTGTCTTTCCTTCTGACTTTCCCACCAGTGCCCTACGATTATATTCATTCCTCTTCCTCCCGTTCGTGCTACATGCCCTGTCTATCTTATCCTCTCCTATCTACCCATAAAACTGTATCCAAAGCATTTTAATTAAACAATCTTATTATAAGTTCTTATCAGAGATATTCTGTTACACACTCTTCTTATTCTCTTCCAAGCTGAATTCCCTGCTCTTCATGTTCATTACCGGACACACAAAGGCCCGCCACTGGCTCCTATCCTAAGTCACATGAATCCAGTGCACATCACACATTTCTTTATGATCCATTTGAATATTATCCTCCCATCTATATCTAGATCTTACATGTTACTCTATCCTTCAGGTTTTGCGATTAAAACTCTTTAACCTGTGACCCACATGCATCACTCACCTCACTCCCCTTGGTTTGATGACCATAATATTATTTAATGAAGCTCATTAGACAGGTCCCCTTCCTCCCACTCTTCTGTCCCTCTGATGCACCCATACTCTCCTCAGCGCTCTCTTCTCACGTCCTTCCTTACTGCGACAGCCATGGCGACTGACATAGAGCCTTAAATAATAATTACATAAAGCTAAATTGTAAAGTTGTTCCTGTGGTGTATGGGGGAATGGATGTATAGACCCACGTTTTCTTGACCTCGGCACTAGTTGGAGGTTAGTGATCAGCTTCATGCCCCGGCCGCTTTACCCCCGGTACCCGTTGAATATGAGGCACGTTGCTTTTTGCATGCTACTGACTTTGTCCACACATAAAAAAAACATTTTTTGTCTTACAGGATCATTTGAAGGCTTGTACGACACTGCAAAATTACCTCTAGGACACATCAGGGCAAGGGAAACACATAAAGACGTAGGAGACCCTGAAACTGCTTCAGGCAGCACTGAAAGAGACTTGACTGAAGCTGAAAGTGATTTAGGCGACACTGAAAATGACTTGGCTGAAACAGCAAACGATTTAGGCGACACTGAAAATGACTTGGCTGAAACAGTAAAAGATTTAGGTGATTGCGAACCTGTCAAGGAACAAGATATTCCTGAAATTGTTCTGGAAGATATGGACGAATTAGGTGAGTGGCACATAAGGTAATAATCATAATAATAATAATAATAATAATAACAACAATAACAATAATAATAATATAATAAAAAATGATTTGCGTGCTGAACTCATCAGCTAGGGGCCAATTAGAGTCGGAACGAATATACTAATAATACTAATACTAATATTAATATTAATGATTCTTCAATTATTTATGTTCTGGACTCAAAAGCCAGGGGCCAATTACACAGTTAGAATGAATATACTACTACGAGTATAATAATAATAATAATGATAAAAATAATACTCAAGAGATCATTGAAGGTCGCAGTGCAAGGGCTACATTATTGTCGCTCGTCCCTTATGCATTCATTCAATACTTCTGCTAATAAGAGTTATAATAATTAATTCTTTCAATTCAATTCTTTATTATTTATGTGCCGAGTCAACAGCCGCAAGGCCAATTGCAGACAGAGCACAGGGTAGATACAAGTAATTACATTACGGACAATTACAACATAAAGTCAAAGACAAATTACAGGCAAGCACTGGAGGAAAAACACTTTAAAGCAGAGAAGTAAACAAATAAATAATATGTAATAATGACAATAATTTATTTGCTTGCTGAACACAACAGTCAGGAGCAATAACAGAATCGGAACGAATATAATGATGATGATAATAATAATGATGACACATTTCCTAACTTGTTATTCCCATCTTGAAGTGCTATGCTGAAACCCCCTTTCGGAAATCCTGTCTTCATTCATTATAAAACATGTGTACGTAATCTCTTTTTTATTAATTTACCCTCTAAGTTATTTTTTCTTAAAATTTGTATTTATTATATTTCTTCACGCGGCAACCGTTCATAGACTGTATATTTATTTGTCATATATCCCCACAAAAAATTTCTTACGCCTTACTCGTATGGTTCCTTCGTTATAATCGCAAGAAAATTTATAAATATCTCGAACAAGATATTGAGCTCGCGCTGTAGCTTATTATTTTCTTATAATTTACAAAAGCATAACGTCTGGGCAACTTAGATATTTTCCTATAACCACTTCCTCTACGGCTTCTTTCTATATGAATGCTGTAACTAACTTATTTACTCTGTAGCCAGTCCATATTCTAAGTTAGAAGATAAACAGTTATGAAAGCGTAACTAGTAAAGTAAAAAACAGACAAAAATGAAAGTATATTTTAAATGGACAACTTATTAAGGAATAGAGTATGGGCATATGCTTTTCTCGTTTTATTTTTACGAAACCTTCCAATAAAAAATATATGACGTCATAAAGGTCAAGGCCTGTTGGAGTGACTCATTTACGACGTGCGATTGTTCCCACTGATTGCTCGCTGTTTTAGCGGTGGAGAATTGTGAGCTGTAAATTTCAGGTCAAGATAATAAATAGCGCGTTATTTAAAGCGGCACTGCAGCTCTATAAAAGACCTTGGACTTCAATTTACATTTAAGATGACGTTTTCTTTTCCTATAAACCTAAGCCTATTTAAAACTTAACAGAGAATAAAATTTACCCTTTTACATAGAATCGTATTTAGAGATGTTAAAGTTCTAATTATTTCAAGTATTTTAATAGTATGAAGAAAAGTATCACTATTAGAGTGAGTTAGCCAATTATACGGCAGTGGTAACACTGTATACCACTTCTTTTAATTGAAAATAACAACTGTCGAATTTGATTCTCAGAACACAGCAATTGTTTCATCAAAATTATTAATTGATTACTCTCTGCAATGGAGACACAGTGTGTTCCCTCTGAGGTACGAGCTGGACTTCTAAAACAGTATTAAGAGGAGCTGCACCTTATAAAACGTTAACGATTGAATAATTGATGACCCAGTATAGGTGCACAAGCTATACATGGGTTGACATAGAGAAATGAGATGGACAGCCGACAGGAATTAGAGCCTTGAAGATTTTAAGCTGAATATTCACGGACGGACAAGGAGGGAAACTTAAGATCGATAGTAGAGTTCGGAGAGATTGCTGCATATAGAACTGGAAAGGCTATGTCGCTAGAAGACTCGCGAAAGCAGATAACGTGGAACCATAAACCTCTAAGGCGAGGAACAAAAGGAAGGGTAAAGGGGAGTTGTAAAGAAAATTTTTAAAGCCGACAAAGATAATAATTTCCAACATGTGAGGGCAACGAGAAAAACAAGAAATGTTTGGCAGATGACGCTGCATATCCACTAAATACTTTTCGGTGTTTTTATTAAATATTCAGATTACTAAAAAAAGGTTTCAAACAAAAGTTGTAAATTCTAAGGAAACCCGTACGTTATGTAAAGTTTCCCGTTTTGCAACAATAGATCGTTTCTTAGAAAAACAATTCTAAACTCACATTTAAAATGAAACTTTACAGTAAGGGAAATATTAGGGCAGCGCCATAGCTCAAGCGGTTAGTCGCTGACTTCCCACCGCGGCGGCCCGGGTTCGATCCCGGGTCTGGTCAAGTGGGATTTGTGGTGGACAAAGTGGCGCTGGGGCAGGTTTTCTCCGAGTACTTCGGTTTCCCCTGCCAAACTTCATTCCACCAATTGCTCCACAATCACCCTCACGTCATCTGGGGCTGGTACAATAGGCCAGAAGTGGCCGCAGTACAAGGGACTTAGTCCCACCCCACTAGCAGTAAAGAAAGAAGGGAAATATTCCACAGAAACAGAAAATAATTAAATATGACAGGCAAATTTTAGTGTATAATTCAAATACAAAATTTCATTGAAATCCGCCTGAATAATTTGAAACTAAACGAGGAAATCCACGATAAAAAATCATAGAAACCGTTATTCGATCCACGATTTCATCACGTCATTCTTCGATTACGAAGCAAGAGTAGTTACGCCTATACGGCAACGTTCAGTAGCAAGACATTCATCTCTGTGTCACGAAAGCGTTAAACTGCACATAAAATGGGTAAAGCTATCCCTGTAACAGGCCGTGGAGACCCACAGGGTAGTGAGACATCGAGGCTCCAACATTTTCTAGACAACCGGCTCACAGATGGTGGTGAGACTTTCAGCCTTACGCGTCGGCCGCTTTTTACCCCCAGGAAGATTCCTGGTACTCATTTCTGTTAGACGCTGAGTCGACACCAGGGCCATAGTGCGGCTGAAAGGATTAGGTCAATTGAACAACCCAATAACATCACCAGGAATCGAACCTGCGACCTTCCGGCTTGTTGAACTATACATACAACGATCATAAACCCAATGCTCTGAGTTGCGCTGGGTGGACGTTTCACTGGAAAAGAGTCGATAGGTTCTGTGTGGATAATTTCATGTAATGGTTTGTTTACAGTTTAGAGGACAAAGCCTCTCGTTGGTCTCTGACAATCGCTTGCCAAATGATGTATATAAATAATTTAACATATGGAGTCCGCGGGGAAACAACTAAAGGCGTGTTTATTTGAATAACGTGTTTATAATTATGTTTATATTTGAACTCTACGGGGTTGTAGAACCACATTAATGACAGTGCCTTCAGCTATGAACATATTACCATAAAACGATAGCGCTTAAAATACCTATAAACAGAGGATAATATTAAAAAATAAGCTATAAATACGGTGTCCCCGTGCTTACTTCAGTATCATGCAGTATTAAGATCGATTTCTGATAGAGAAATGGGAATTACCCCTTTTCCATAGCGCCCAGTCCGAACTTGGGGCCCACCCAGCCTCCTCCCCAATGAGTACCGGGGACAGTTACAACGGGATTAAATATCCGGGGCGTGAAGCTAGTCAATGACCTTCGTCTAATACCGAGGTTGAGAATGCATGGAGTTACACTTCTATTCCCCCAATATAAAATTGGATATAGGGGTTTAGATTTGATTAAAGTGACTCGAGGCATAGTCCAGTGGTATGCTTTTGTGTATACGGCGATGAAAATGGACTGAATAATGTTCAAGGAATTTTTCGACTAGATAGGTTAAACTGAATAACTAATTTAACTAACTCTGTAACCAGTCAAGTGCCAGACAGAGATGGAGCCCAAACTTAAAGACAGAGGATCTGATAATGTGCTGCGTGGTCAGGATTACAGCACAATTCAGAGGGCCGTGATGGTGGGTATGGAGCAATGGTGGAGTGATGATCACCAAGGGCAAAGCTGAGGAAAGTCGGAGAGAAACCGGCTCGAATGTCACTCCGTCGACTATGAATCGCACATGAAGTCACTTGGGATCGAACCCGAGGCGCCGCGGTGAGAAGCCTGAGCTATGGCACAGGCGTCAAGCAAACCAAGAGGAAAGAGTAAGAAATCTAGAAGCTGACTTGCGATAATTACGGAACGCCCCTGCGTTTACAGAGCCGATCGATGGGCTGTGGACTTAACTCGGGAGTGACGTTACGGACGCGAGAAGGGAGGGTTGGCGAGCCGGAGTGGATCTGACTCAGATATGGCCACTGTTTAGTTAAATCAAACGTTAGGTCGTTGAACTGAGTCATTCGAGGCAGTATGGACTTCTAGTGGGGGCGTTCTAGGGGTTCAGATAAACACACCGAGACCCACTTGTGGCCATTGGTCAAAGCTGCACGAACAATAGCCCACCGACTCACGCGACGCTGCTTCTATCGACGGCGGAACCATGGCGTCGGGGCGCGTTGTTTCACGAGGGCAATACTTGCGATATATAGAAGGGTATTATTTTTCATAGTGGGGTGAGACTGCACTGGGAAGACCAAGGAGTAGGTGTGTGGACAATATTAAAATGGATCTTAGAGAGATAGCATGGGTTGGTATGGATTGGGTTGATCTGGCTCAGGATATGGACCAGTGGAGGGTCCTTGTGAACACGGTAATGAACTTTCGGGTTCCATGAAATGCTGGGAAGTTCTTGAGTAGCTACAGAATTGGCTTCTCCTCAAGAAGAGCTCAGCTCCATAAGTAAGTAAGTAAGTAAGAGGGGTGGGACTAAGTCCCTTGTACTGCGGCCACTAACTGGCCTACTGTACCAGCCCCAGATGATAGGTGAGGCTAAGTGTGGAGCAATTGGTG